TTTTTGTTCTGTTTGCTCAAGTACAAGCAAATTCTTGCTGTGACTATCCTATTAAACAGGTCATATATACTAAATAAAGCTATGGTCAGGTGAGGCGGGATGAAAAACCCAGACAATTTGGACCAACTAAAAAAATGTTATTTTGTCTGGTAAAACCCCATTTCCCTATGACATCACAAAATAGATCAAAACAAACTATTATATAATCAGTGAGCTGCAAATAAGGTCCTTATATTAGGAATTGGAACCACCTAGGATTTCACAAGTTAACCATTAATCAAGTGACCATTGTGCTGGTTTTAATTAATTAGCCATGATCATATTAAGCATAATCTAAATCATACAGTCATTGAGCTGCAAATAAGGTTCTTGACTAGTATGTAGCTATGGAGCCTTATATTTATTAATGCCTATTGGCATAAAATACTTTCACAAATTAAAACACTGACCTGTGGTCATTGCACGATCATACTAAGCAGCTCTATATCATATGAGGTCTTTGCCTTGAAAATGATCTTATAGAACTATGTAAATTTTATGAATAAAAATCAAAATTTCTAGCCATTTAATAATCCAATTTAAAATTTTTTTATTTTATTTTGTAGAGTTCACTAAGCTTTAAAAAATAAAAAAAAAGTTTATTTTAATTAGATTACTGGATTGCTAGAAATTTTAATTTAAATTCATAAAATCTACATAGTCCCATTAGGTCATTTTCAAGGCAAAAACCCATATATTCATTAAGGTCCTCGCACCGCTATGTAGCCATAGGGCCTTATATTCACCTTTGGAGTCCTATATCTATTAACACTTTTCTAAAATTTGGGTAGGATGGGTGAGACGAAGTCAGCCTAATATCACAAGGTGAGCAATAGCAAAATCAAAGGTAAAATCTCTTTAATACAAGATATTTCCTATATATACCAACTTTCACACAATTAAGCATGATATCATATTACGCTTACAAATCATGTACCATAATGTTATTTTTGCTCTTGCAATAATGTTGGCTTCGTCACTTCATTGATGAGCCAATAATTTGGCCAAATAAAAAGTTTTATTTACATAATAAACTTTATAAATTTCGATTATAAATATTTATTATAATAATAAATATGACTACATATTTAAAATATTTTCCAATAAGTAAAATTTTATTTATAATGCTTATAACCTAATTGATTAAAGCATATAAGAGTATTCTAATTTTAATTTAAACTCTATGTTCTCTTAATGACCAATACTCAAAAGCTTTTTCAAAATCAAATAAATTAATAGAGGGTCCATTTAGAGCTACCTTCAAATGATCATTAAGTGTATCAATACTCATTTGATTATGAAGTCGGGTTTTTATAAGATTTTGTCGAGAAAAAACTCTTTTGACTGCAGCATTTGAAACAGAAATGATTAAAGAAATCTGAATTAAAGTTAAGGTAGCAGGAAAATCTAAAAGAAAAGAAGTTTTTGTAAAAATAAGATTCCAAGCATTAACAAATTTAACTGATCGATAATTCTTAAGAAAAAATTTAACTAATCCCCATTCGTTAATTAATAGTTGTTTGCTAAGTGGTGGTTTAAACTTTTTATCCTCAACTATTTTTTCTAATCTATAAAAATCACCAAGAAATTTAATTTTTTCATTACTATAATTAGATAATTCATTATCTAAGTTTGGTAATTGTTCAGGATCAAATATTTTTAATGCATCAAATAGTTCTCTATTTGGAAAACGATTATTAAGACTTTCAATAGTTGCTAACGCGAATTCAAAAATAAATATTGGAAGTTGATCAAGATTTAAATTATTTTTTGCCATATATTCAAGTAAATTTGGACCATAAGTAAGTAAGACTTCATTATTGCCAATAAATTGAGCCCTAATTGCATCAATCGTCATAGTAATATATTGTTGAATATCAGTAAATGAAATATAATCTGATTGAAAAATGCATATTAATTTTTCCATAATAAAAAAATAGTCAGCTAAAAACATTGTTATGATTTCAAATTCTTGATCAATATCCGTTAATAAAGAGGCAGCCTGCTGATTAGTTGTTAACTCTTCTAATAAAGCTTCTTTAACTGATTTTAAACTTCTATAAAAATTATGAATAACATTTGAGAATGAGAGCCAATGAGTAGATACAATATTTAATAATACAAGCTCTGGTTCTTCTAAAGTATTTTGTACTAGTTTTAAAGTTAATAGTCATTTATACGAATTACTAAAATATAAATAAATTTCTTTAACTAATGCATCATATTTTTTAAAATATAGAACTTGTTCTGCAGCATCTTGGCTAGCAAGATGTAATCGATATGCTATGCAATGATTTTCTGTAAGGTAAGGATTATATTTTTTAAGCTGAGCAGCAACACCAGTTCGACATCTGAGCATTGTACTAGCACCGTCACTTCCAAAATGAAATATATTTTTGATATTAAGTGATTTTGCAATTATAAATCTTT